AGAATGTAGCATTTTTAACTGAAGAAGTTTGGTAAATCAGATCCCAAATTCTGAACGAAATGGCAGGGAGTTTTCCATAATTAGTACTGTGAGCTGGATGGTAGTCGTTCGAAGAACTTTCTTCTTTTTTATCACAGGAGAGCCTGCGGCTTGGAGAGGCGTGGCAATCATTGTGCATGATGACGGTGACGGTCGGACGAACGTGTGCATGGGGGCAAACCCGATCGCATTTAGTCGTGATATGCCTCCGACGTCGACCAGTATACGCTGCGCGCTCTCAGAAGTTGAAAAGAGTGCGATTATCGATTTGCGCACTGTGGTACCATCATTGGATACTGTTTCGGACAGTTACATTGCCAGGTTTGTCCTCCGCATATTTCATTACTGTTCACTAAAAAAGTCTTCTTCGTCGACCTGATAACTGTGATGTGTACTTTGGAGGCCGCAATGTTATCGAATCCGCTATCATGTTAATTGCCTATTTATTCATCGAAGTTTTTAGTACTGATTAACATCTTTTACCATCTTCGTCTTCATTTTGTTGGGCGGTACACAAAATTTTTTTTTATATTTTACTTCTTCTATTTTCTGAAAAAAATTACGGTAGTCTGAGGACCTTTTTTTTGCATAGAACAGTGGGATTATGCTCGGAGTATTTTGTAGGTGTACGTGGAAATTTTACCAATAATTTATTTTGTGGACTAAGTTTTCATCGGAATTTAAATTGACCGATTTAATTACTGCGAGGAATTTGTACAGTAACGACCAATGCTTCAAGTTGTTCAGTTTTAAAAAATGTAAATGCTCAGATGCAGCTTCGTTCAGTAATTCTTAATTTTCCCCTCTCACCGAGTTTTCACTACCGATTCATAGTGCATAGATAAAGTTTACACATTGTTTGGTATTTATGTTTCCTTATCTTCAAAGATTACGACTGTCTTCTGAAACTGTAAACAGGTACTTGGACATTGCTATATTTATGGTTATAATGTTTACAGTTCTCAGTCCCAGAGATGGAGAAAATTAATTATTTTTAAGGACTGTTATACCTATTTTTTGTCCTTGATGTCAACTAATTGTTACGGCGGGGGGAAAGATGGAGAAAAAATGTCGCAGAAATATTGTAATCATAGAAAAGCTGCCGGTGCTTGAATAGTTTTACAAGTGAAAAATAGACAACTTTTAAGTGTTTGAAATAATATGTGAAAAAAGTGCACGGTAAATCGTCGTGATTTTTGATTTCATAACATTGATTTAACACAGCAGCAAAACTTGTTACTGTTTCTGTTGTCTGTAAAGTTAAATAAAAAAAGGCAATTTTAGATTTTTGAAAGATTGGTAACAGTTGATGCGACTTTTATAGTTTTTTAAGAGGAGTTTCATCCAAAAACATCTGTCCTGATGTCAGAACATATGAAGAAGGATCATTGATTTAGTGATGAATAATGGAAAATGGATGCTGTTTACAGAAGATGTTGTTGTTGAAGGGCAGCATATAGTTTATTGTTTTGCAAAATGCTTTTATAATTTTTCAAGCCATAATGTTCAGTAAGTAAAAATAGTTAAGCTGAATTACGGTTTGATCAGGCAAAAATGTCAGGTTGAAAAGTAGAAGGAGACTGCGGAATACCAGAATGAAAAATTATGTTCTTGTTTCAAAGTAACTTGAGAAGTACATATAATATTTGGTTCAAAATACGTTTCAAGTTTTTACACCAATTATTTAGACACATTTTATTCAGTTGAATTATATTCTACTCAATTATCAAAAAAAAAAGAACGAAAAGAGTGTTTTTTTTTACTGTTTAATTTTTGAAACAATCTTTGTACATTAATCATTGTCATCATCATCAAAACTGTGTGATACACAGTATGTTTCTTCAGAATATGCTGCATAGGTTTCAGAACGTTTCAAAACGGCGATGAGATCAAATCACTGATGCGTTCACTGATTTCCACTGACCGTTCGTTACCGTCTCAAACTTAGCTTTTTTTTTTTTCTTCATTTTATATCATCAATTGTTTGAAAAATAGCAAAAAAAAAGACCAAAGATTATTTGTCGATTAAACAATAAAGATGTATAGACTGTATGAATAATGCTAAATTTTTATGCATTAAATTTTTTTACAATCGTAATTGGTATTTATGAGATGACCGAAGACAAAAAAGCACGACACTGTTGATATACTACAGAAAAAAAAAATTTGTTTCTAAGATTTTTAGCGTGTTTTGATATGCACATTTACCGATTAAACTATTCGTTTGATTTGGTAGTGTTCAATTGTCTTTCAGTACATACATCTGTTTTTTTTTTCTTCTTCTTTTCTATTTTTATTTTTTAATTTTTACTTAACTTTTGTTTTATTCAACCAGTTTTCTCTTCTAATTTATATTGTCGAATTTGAAATTGATAGTTGTGAAAGAATTATTTGGAAGAAAAGAAGAACTGATTTAATGTGTAGCTGTACGAAAGTTTTTTTTTTGAAAAAGTTTTAGCCAAAAAAAAAGGATTCTATTTACAAAAAGTTGCTTCTGATTGATCAATAGGATACAGAAGTTTTTACTTTTGAAAATTTTTTCGTAGAGTAATTGACAAATATCTGTGTAGAAAAAGTTTATAAAAAATTGGTCAGAAAATAAAGGAATTAATAAAAAGAGTGGAAAGAGAAGAAATAGTTTTATTTCCTTTTAATTGCTGTTTGTCACTCATTTATTTATCGTCCTAAATTGTTTCTTCTGTTTTTCTTCTTCTTTTATTTTAGATGGTTACGGTCTCGAGATGGACGTTTCGATGAAACGGCTGAAGCATTAAAAAAGCATATTGTATTTAGAAAGGCTTGGCAATTGGATGATATTGATCGATGGGAATCACCTGAAGTAAGTAGATGTTAGAAAACTTCTGGCAACTGCTCTCTGAAATTGCTGCAGCAGCAGGTTGATCACCATCTGCTGTATCTGCTCCTCAATATGTTCATTTGTTCGTTCATTTGTTTCTTCTTCATAAGCATTTGAAAATCTGCAGATGAAAAAGACAGTTTTCTTACTATTAATTATAACTTTTAAAGATTTTTTTAAACCTTCTTAGGTATAATTTTTAATGGTCTTACAATCTTTCTAAGGGTGAAAAAAGTGCTTTTTTGATGACATTGACCTTGTGCTTATCTTTGGATTACAATGAAAGTAGCATTTTAATCAAAATGTCTCTTTTTTTTTTTGCTTAGGTTTAAATTACAAATTTGAAAATTTTGTGTTACTTTTTGGATGAAATTCAATTAAAAATTTAATGGAAAAATGATTTTTTTTTTTCTGGTTTTTGTATTTTTCTTCTGTACTTTTTATCTGGAACAATTTTGCAGGAAAAAAATTTGCTCCAAATGACTTCATTTTTTGCGCAGCAATTTTCAGCAAAATTTTTGTTGGATAATCTGTTACGGAAAGTACAAATGTGATCGACCACCTAATTATCAGCTTAAATACTATTTTTACGTTGATATTTTGCTGCTTCGTTGATCCATATAAAAACAGTTAGTTGTCTGATTTGTAAAAAACTAATAGAGGAACCTAGTTTTTTTTTTTTGTTGACTTTTTGAAATATTAATAGTGGTTAATGAATCTAAAATTTGGTTTTATAAATAATGTATCACTGTAGGGATCAGTTTTTCAATTTAAGTTATTTCAATTTATGCTCTGTTGCACAATGAGATCAGCAATTTTAAAATAAAATCAAGTTTTTTAATGGACGCAAAAATCATCATCCAATTCTTATGTTGTCTGGAGGTTGCACTCCAGTGATAACCGATTAAATTTAGTGACAAACACCTAGCTACTCAGTTTATTGATCTTCTTTCAATCATCCAACAGGTCAGTTTTACATAGAAGTAGATAATTGAACGATGTAGCTGTACAGGAAGAAAAAGAGCCGACGGACAATTCATAATCTTGCAAATCTGACTTCATGCACAGTTTGAAAACCTTGAACATTAGTTTTTTATTTTGAAAGTCAATTTAGAGTCTAATTTGAAGAAAAGTAATTTTTGTTTTACAAAAGACAAATGTTTCAGTAGCAGAATAGAAACTTTGGTAATCCTGCTGGAAATTTTTGAAAATTTTTTAAACGACTGTTTTTGAGATTGTATTACATACATCAATTTTAGAGGTTTTAAAATCGATTTTCCTCTTTGATCTCAATCTTATTCACTGATTTCTGCAGTATTGCCTATTTTAAAAACAGGTACAGTTTGCAGAAGGTTAATCAAACTTTTGGTGCATTGGTTGTGCTAAGTGCATACTAGGGGCGAAATCAAGGTAATATAGTCATGCGGCAAAGAATAGAAGGGGAGGGAGAGGAAGGCATGTGGAAGGGAAGTAAGAAGGAACGGTGAAGATGGGAAAAAAAGTCATAAAATCAAGGTTAAATTTCAGCAGCATTTTGATTGGTCTGTTTAAGCCACAAATTATACTACAGAATATAAGAATTCGTGATTCATGAATACCGATGGTTTTCTAGGGCATTGTGATTTGGTTATCACAGTGCACAGAATGATCTTGTTATTATCAAACGTCGATCAACTGATTGAGGAAATAAACTTTTTTTTCTCTCTATGCCAAGTTGACACTTTATTTTGTGCAAAGAAATTTTTCTTAGCTCAAAACTTCCTGTTTTACGGTTGTTTGGCAAAGATGAAAAGAATAAAAGAAACAACATTAAATGATTGCTTTTTTTGTTTTTTCATTTTGCTTAAAATATCGACATAAAGTGAAATTTACTGTGTTTAAATTACATATTTGTTTGACTGAAAAATGATTTTCTGTTTCATTTTTAATGGCCAGTCTGTAGCTTAGAAAAGTAAGATATTAGAAGCATTTGCCTTCTGCATTCTTTGATGCAGTAGTTCATTACAGAAACCTTATTGCAAGGTATTTACAGCTAAAACACCTTGCCTTTTGGATTTCCTTCGGCAAAATGTTGTTGGTAGTTTGGTATATAGTTTAAGCTACAGTTGATCATCATGAAGGCATCTGTGCAAACCTATGGGATTTTAATTTACTGAACAACACTTTATTGTTTAAAGCCTTCGGTATAGATGTCCGTTATTCCATCTGTTTTTTATCCGTCAGAAAAGTTGTCAGTCAGGTCACTTACATCTGTTGTATTTGTTCACCTTTTTTGTGCGCTTTTTTTTTTGTTCTATTGGCTACTATAGTTTATAAGGGCTGTTATTTATTTGTTGATTTAAATATGACCAGATACATCTGTCATCGTGTAAAAAAAGAAGAAGGAACAAAAATGCCGTTTCTTTCCAATAATTTAATTGTTTCATTGATTTAACCGTGGATGCAGATGAAGGATTATGAGAAATGGACACTCTGTAATCCTTATCATTTTTTTCCCATTGTTTTCGCTCTATTTTGAACATCAGTTTTTGGGAATTGATCGCTTTTTATTGTTTTGACAATCATATATATATATATATATATATATTTTTTTTTTT